GCCTGTGGCTCAGTGGGTAGGGCGCCAGCCCCATATACCGAGGGTGGCAGGTTCAAACCCAGCACTAGCCAAACTGCAACAAAAAATAGCCGGGTATTGTGTGGCAGGAGCCTGTAGTCCCAGCTACTCGGGAAGCTGAGGCAAGAGAATCACCTAAGCCCAAGAGCTGGAGGTTGCTGTGAGCTGTGACGCCATGGCACTCTACCGAGGATGACAAAGTAAGACTCTGTCTCTTAAAAAAAAAAAAGATCCATGTAAAAAGAGTAATAGCACAATTGACCCCTCCTCCTGGAGCCCTCTGACAACCATTCAACATACAGATGTCTAATCATCTCTAACAAGAAGGAAGCTGATAAATGTTGAAATCAGAAAAAGACAATTTGACTAGCCTGGGCAATAGTGAGACCTTGTGTCTTAAAAAAAAAAAAAAAATTAGAAAAGCATAATGGTTTGCACATATAGTCCCAGCTATTCTGGAGGCTGAGACAGGAGAATTGCTTGAGCTCTGGAGTTTGAAGTTACTGTGAGCTATGATGGCGTCACTGCATTCCAGCTTGGGTAACAAAATGAGACTATATTTAAAACAAACAAAAAGATCACTGAAATGTAGATTTTTTTTTTTTTTTCAGTTTTTGGCTGGGACTGGGTTTGAACCCACCACCTCCAGCATATGGGGCTGGTGCCTTACACCTCTGAGCCACAGTCACCGCCCTGAAATGTAGATTTACATCACTGTTAACTAATTAGAAACATTGCCTGAGTGCCTTGTGGTACTAGCCAATGACAGCAGTATGTATCTAATAAACAAGAAAAATAAACATTTGTGTAATAGGAGTGCTTACTAAATATCTTTGACTAATAGGGTAAAGATCAAAATAAATGTGGAACACGTCATCTCTTCTCTCTCCTATGCCCACCCCTCCTGTTTGCCCTAAAATGCCAGTATGGCTCTAAGCACACTCCCCTTGTGAGAGAGACAAACCCTGGCAGCCTGGCCTTCTTTTTTTTGATTTCTATTTTTCTATTTTTAAAAATTTTTTTTTGAGACAGAGTCTCATTATGTCACCCTTGGTAGAGTGCTGTTGAGCCACAGCTCACAGCAACCTCAAACTCTTGGGCTTAAGCGATTCTCTTGCCTCAGCCTCCCAAATAGCTGGGACTATAGGTGCCCACTACAACGCCTGGCTATTTTTTTGTTGCAGTTGTTTAGCTGGCCTAAGCTGGGTTCAAACCCACCACTTTGGCTGGCGCCATAACCACTGTGCTATGGGTGCCCAGGCTGTTTTTCTATTTTTTGATAGAAATGGGGCTGCTATGTTGATCAGGTTGGTCTCAAATTCCTGGCTTCAAACAATCCTGCCTTACCTCCCAGTGTTGGAATTATAGGCATGAGCCAGTGTACCTGGCCCAGCCTGGCCTCTTGGGTTTTGTCCATCTCCTTGCCACACCCTGGCCTTGCCTGTGGTCTCTTGTCTTCATGATTTTCCAGCACTATGCCTTCCTTCTGGAATGCCTTCCTCCCCCACCCAGTTTGACACCTCCTCATTCCTTGACCTTCTCTATCACCTTGCAGGTGAGTATGAAAACAAGGGGTTGATGATCATTGATGAAGAGGAATTCCTGCTGATTCTGAAGCTCAAAGACCTCAAGAAACAGTACCGCAGTGAATACCAAGACCTGCGTGACCTCAGGGCTGAGATCCAGTACTGCCAGCGCCTGGTAGATCAGTGTCGCCACCGTCTGCTCATGGGTGCGCCAGTTGGGAAGGTTGACTGGTCACCTGAGGCCCAGGGATGCTTAGAGCAAGGCCACAGCTTGAGTTCTGGAAGCATCCTCAAAGATGCTTCTGGAAGAGGCAGGGGGAGGGTAGGGGCTTCAGATATGTGGTTTCTAGGACTGTGAGGGCCAAAGATGGAGATGGGCACAAGGTAGGACCCCAGAGCAGGAAGTGAATAGGCAGTGAGCTTGCAACAGGTATAATAAGGCAGATGGATGCACATGGCCTTTACTTGCCTCTTTAGAGGGTCCCTTACGCCTCATAGTTCTGTCTTCTCATCTCCTTGCAGAATTTGACATCTGGTACAATGAGTCCTTTATTATCTCTGAAGAAATGCAGGTGGCACTGAAGCCAGGCAGCAGCATCCGGCCAGGCATGGTACCTGTCAGCAGGATTGTGTCTCTGGTGAGTAGCACAAGAGCAGGGGGCAAGTTCATCTTTGAGGATGATGCAATAAGCAATACCCCTTGTCCTCTGTCCTCTCCACATACATGTAGTATGTGGGATGTTCCCAGCCTCTCCCATAGCTGGCCCAGGCAGATGGGGAGGTACAGGTCTCTTTTCAGTTATTAAGGGATGGGGACACAGTAATACCATGCTTGCTACTGCTACCTGTCTAGAATGGGTTATCTTGCTCAGGTAGAAGTTATAGGATAGTGTCTGTAAGGATACTGACAGACATGGAGGCTACAGGGGTATGAGATACCATTTGTGGGCTTTTGCAAACCCAGCAAAATGCTACCCTGATGCCCACCATAAGCCCTTCCAGGGTGCATCCTGACAACAACATGCTAAAAGGACTGTGCTGGGTTGGGTCTTCCCTAGGGAGAAGATGACCAAGACAAATTCAGCCAATTGCAGCACACAATGCTTCCTGAGGGCCCTGATTCTATCTCCTTCTACAATGCCAAAGTCAAGACAGAACAAAAGGTAACTTAAGAGGTTCATGTTTCTAGGAGGATGGGGCCTCAGGTACCTCATTACTTGGAAACATAGGATTATACTCCCTACTTCAAAGGGGTGGAGGAGGAATGGTGCAAGTCCAAGGAGAACCAGATCTCCCAGTCAATGGTGTCTTCTGCCAACTTTAGTCTAGGATTGGGCTGGATCAAAGAGGGGTCCCACAGACTAGAGTCAGGCCTGGGTCTGGCTAGTGAGTGCTATGTCAGCTCATATATGGTTCACAGCCCCAAACATGGCCCAGGGATCCCCTGAGGCCACTGACTATCACGGAGAACCTGTCAAATAGGAGCCATTTTGCACAGGTAGCAGAGGACGGAGGAGCACATGCACCCAAAGTGGAGCTAATATGGCTAGGTTCCTGTAGCACAGTGCTTATGGCACCAGTCACATACACGGAAGTTGGCAGGTTTGAACCAAGCCCAGGCCAGCTAAAACAACAATGACAACTGCAACAAAAAATAGCCGGGCATTGTGGCGGGTGCCTGTAGTCCCAGCTACTTGGGAGGCTGAAGCAAGAGAATCACTTAAGCCCAAGAGTTGGAGGTTGCTGTGA